CGCGCGCCCCCGCCGCCCCCGCCGCGAGGATTGGGGGCCTGGAGGGGCGGGGCAATAGAGTGGAGAGGGGAAAGAGGGGAGAAGGAAGAGGCGCTGAGGGCTGGGGGGCGGGTTGGGAGAGAGATGTTTGACAGGTTTGTTGACTGTAAAGAGAGAAAACTTCCCAGGAATGAGGGAGTTGGGGGATGCGAAGGCAGATGTTGGTGCGGGGGCCGGGGAGGAAGTCAGCCTGGGCCTCGGGGTGCTGCGGAGAGGGGTGTCAAACTCCCCGTCCTTCAGGACCCTGCATCAGTCACCTCCTCCTGGGTCCCGCCCAGCCGGACTCCCCTTCTACAGAGCCAGGGAAAACGGCCCACCTAGGGTCCCGCTCTGGCACCCCAGCTGCCCCATTTCTTCAACCCGCTTTCACTGGGGGAGAGATTGAACCACAGGACAAACCTCGAACGCCTGCGCTGGCGCTCGTGAGTGAGCGGAGGGCGGAGGGCGGCTTCCCAAGGACCTGGGAGTCACAGCAACCCAGCCTCCAGGAGCACCCTGAGTGTCCGCGGTTCTGTCCTCACTTTCTCCCCCAATTTGGCCAGGGCAGAGGGGGTGGGAGAACCAGCTGCAGGTGAGATGGCATTTATCTGATTTTCTAATGCCACAAAAATGTCTTTGATGCCCCGGCCCCCTCCCCATGGGGGGAGATCAAAGGCTCCGTGGGAGAAAGGACAGCTCCATTTATCACGCGGAGTGAGCTGGCAGCGGGCGGCCACCCCAGTTCCTCCAGCCAGGACAGAGCTCCTGCCCCAGACATGCCCCACTGATACTAAAGATCAGGTGGTTTGGGATAGTCTCAAGCAAGGACCAGGCCCTCCCACCACCATCTAGTGTGATCACCAGTCTCTAAGGGTATCTTGAATTGTGAAGGGCAGAGAGAGGACCTCAAGTCCGCTTGGTAGACTTTTCATGTGGCGAAAGACACGCAACAGCTCCTGGTGGTTTGGGGAGCAGGAGGGAGAAAACACCTAACCTCAGGTAATGTGTTTACTGCAAGAGAGACTAACACACCTGTGACAGGAAGAAGACAAGATCCCAAGTCCCCCAGAGAGTGGGGATAAATGAATCAAGATGAGGCTGAGTGATGAAAGACCACTGATGGCGGGTACAAAGGGTGACCGAGCTGAGAAGAAATGGAGAAGCCCCTGAATTTTCTGGGAGTGTACCTTAGGGCCCTGATGTCCAATCCGATGGACTGTGTACAGAGATTCTAGTGAGACGGTGGAGCACCCAGCCGGCAGGAGGAAGAAGAAACTGAGGGTGATAGTAAAAGGGGGACAGTCCCAAGTACTGCCCCCATTTTAACCTTTAGCAGTGCCCACATGAGACACACAGCCCCCCCACAGATCATTTTTGTCCCCCAGTCACTGTTTCTGCAGGACACTGTCAATCTGTACACTTGCACATTCAGACACACCCAGGTTGGGCACACACTCAGACCAGATGGCCCCCAACAGGCTGCCAGAGGGTTCTGGAGGCTGCAGGTGGCCAATGACCAACCCTCAGGAAACTAGAGCTTAGGTTCTGAGCCCCCTGCCCACCCCTGCCCCCACCTTGCTACTGTTATTGCAGATTATGAAATACTCTCCCTAGCCTGCATTCTTCTCGAGGCAAGAATTTTAATGTATTTGTCTTTGTCATCAGGGGACCTGGGCTCTGGGACCGCCCTGCTTCTGCCTGAGGAAGGAGCACCCCAAGTCTAGTCCCTCCTGCCTCCAGACTCCAGCCTCTCTCCATTATCCCCCCTACCCCATGGCCTAACCCTGCCCTTTGCCTCCCTCCCTCCCAACCCCCCCCCCCCAAAGCCTCTCTGTGGGGTGGATAAAAATGATGTTATTGAAACAACAGAATTGGGAGCAGTGGCAGGGAGCAGGGATCAGCTCAGGAAACTGGGGCGTTTGCCAAGAAGCCTTCTCCCCCGCAGGCGGCCTTTCTGCCCCCACCCCCACCTTTCCTACAAACATGAACAGCCCGCCCCACCCCTCTGCAGCACTCACTCTGGCCAGAGCTTGCAGAATCTTTTGCCATCCATGGGCTCCTCAAGCCCTTGTCTTCACCTAAAAGTTCCATTCCAGAGTTAGTTTGCCCAGGAGTAGATGCACAAGTGCTGGGCAGGACAGGCTGGGGTCTGTGATGGACAGAACTCCTGGAACCTGGGTTCCCAGGTCCTCAATCCCTGGGACAAACCTTGCTTCTGCCCATTCCCTCTTGTCCTCTCTGAATCCCCTTCTGGAGATTGCCAGGCATCTGGGCAAAGAGAGAGCGATGACTTTCACTCTTAAGCCTCCAAGCGTTCAGAGAGAAGAGTTTAGATGTCCCGGAGGCTTCAATCCATCAGTGTTATCTTGGAGCAGAGCTTGGGGGACCAGGAGATACAGACAGTAGTGCACAAAGACAGACCAAGATGTGTACACTCACATACACATCTAGGTGGAGACTTCCAGATGTTGTCAGGTCAAATTCTAATTTATGGAAACTCCATGTGTGCAGAATAGAGCTCCATAGAATTTTCAAAGCTGTGACCTTTCGGAAGCTTTCAGATAACCCCTCAGAAATCACAGGGCACCTTTACCTCCTCCAGAAAATGTTGGTACATTTCACTGCAGGTATAGGTATGGATGGACATACAGATGAACTAGCTCAGGCTGAGATACAAGCCTGCCTCCCTAAAGATCATACACACATGTATGCGCACACACACTACCTCTACACAGACATGTGTGCACAGAAACATTCATAAGTGATTGGACTGGGAACACGGCAGCTCGCAATGGACAGCAGAAATGGGGAGATGCCAGTTTAAGTCCCTTTTCTCTGTCCTCTGGACACTGGGCCTTCTACCTCTTCCTCCATCACTCAGTCTGAGGTCCTCAGAACCTGTTAACTCCACTTCTAGGCCCTGGTGTAAGAGAAAAGCAGAGAAGGGGAGACCTGGGTGTCTGCCTGCGGGATTGGAGAAAAAGGAGAAGCAGAGGTGGGGACTGTGGAGGGGGGAGAGACAGCTGGAGATAGATAACATCAGAATCGCTGCAGGCAAAGCAGAGCCCTCTGCCTCTTTCAGATTCTCTCTCACTGTCTTTTGTATCTTTTCACAACTCTCTCATCTCCATAATTTGGTCTTTCTCTATTTGTGTCTGTCGCTAAATCACTTTCTCTTTTTCTTTGTTTCTGAGAATGACTGAAACTGCAGGAGCCGAGGAATTTGGGCCTGTGACCCTTCCCCTCCCAGTAACCTCCTTCTTTCCGTCCCTCCCCTATGCCCCTCCCTCCCTCTCCAGCAATGGGACCCAATTTCCATTCCTTTAGGGTGGCTGGTGACTGGGCTTGAGAATTCCTAAGGGTTCTGGGTCTCAGGATCCCTGGAGAATTGAGAGAGGAAAGGCCAATCCTCCAGAGAGATGGAGGGAATGGGGGAGAGAGAGAGAGGCTGAGAGATAGAGAACTTTCTTTTCCTTTTGATTTCTCAGCCAGCTCTACTCTAGCTTTCCCCCAGCCCACCTGAAGCTGTGAATTTAGGAGAATGTGCCTTCCCACCTGAGATTGTGAGCTCAAATGCCTAGTTCCCAGTTTTAGCCAGTCTGACCCCTGACTTGCAAGCTGGGTTCCCTCTGAGATGCCCTCTGGGACTTTGTCCAAGGAAACCTCTACCAGAGGCCCCAGTTCACCTGCCTCACACCTTCCACATCTCTCAACCTGATCCACATAACCCCACAATCCCCGATCCCCCATCAGTCAAAGGGAGAAGGAACCCAGGAAGGAGTGTGAAGAGGGGGAGCAGGGAAGAACTGAGAGGGCTGCTGCCCACCCACCAGGAGTGGGCTGGGGGAAAGCCAGGGAACATTTGTTTCTACTTAGCTTGGCCCTAGTGGCCCTGAGTGGGAGTGATTGGACCCCGGAGCCTCTCCAGCCATCTCAGCCCAGACCGGGTTCCTGCGGTATTGACAACCGGGTGAGCAGAGGCCCCTGGGAGGACCTCTACTCTCTCTTCTCTTTACTTCTCCATTCTTTCAGCAACAGCTTCTTTTCTCCCCTCTGAGTGAACTAAAGTTCCTAAATTCAGTTCTCCACACCTCGCCTCTCTCCTGATTGTGCTTCTTTGCATTGGCTATCTTTCCCTGGACAGCAGTCAGAATCTTTTTAATTGAACACCTACCATGTGCCAGGCACCCAGTTAGATAGTGGAGAAATTATAGTGAACGAAAGCAGACATAACTTTATGATGTTATCATTAATCATATCATCTCAAACCAAATGGAAAAATGACTGGTACAATGGAGGAAAGGATGAGGGGCTGGGAGAGGTTCTGATGTGGAATTGACCAGTCTAGGGAGGGAGAATGGAGAATGGGGGTGGGGTGGGTAAAAAATAAGGTTAGTTTGGGTGGAAGAGAATGAAAAGCAGTCTAATGGGAAATGAGGTTGGAGGGATGATTTGGAGATGGGGGAGGGGATCAGACCAAGTAAGGCTTTATAGCTATGGAAGGGATTGTTCCTGATTTTAA